CAAATCATAGCCCCAGGAGGTAGGGAGGGACCACAGAAGCAGATCAAATTTTACATTGAAACATATAGGAAAAGCTCTTAAAATCTTCTCAAGAACAGCAGGGGCATAATTGGTCATATTAATATGGAAATATCCTCAGGTAGTGCTGATTCAAGTTTGTTCAAGTCATGGGCCTGGGGATAGGGTGGAGCCACCATACTGGATAAAAGTTTAGAATGGGAATATAGGAAAAATAAATCTTTAAGAGGGCTGGGTGGTTGTGGCCATTTTCAGACTATATTGATCTCCTTTAGAAGAAGAGCTCCATATAAAGATATACAAAAATGATCAAATTTTAAAACTTGAATGTATGAAATTTTTCTTTGCCAAATGATAGTTGATAGCTTAAGATATCTTATCTAAAAAATTAAGTTATATCTGATGGTTAATTTGTTGACCCCCCAGCCTCCTTAAAAATCTTTTCAAGAGCAGCATAACCATTATTAGTCATATTAATATATGCAAGCATGCTCAGGTAATGCAGAGTGGGGCTACAATTTAGGATCTCAGTTTTATACAGGAATATATAGGGGAAAAAATCTGTAGAAATTTTCCTCTGAAGAATAGCAGGGCCATGATAAGTCACTTTGATATGCAAGCATCTTCCGACAGCAGATTCATGTTTGTTCAAATCATGGTACGCAGGGGTTGGGTGGGGCCAGAACAGAGGGTCAGATTTTTATGTGCAAATAAATAGAAACTAGAGTGTTCCAAGGAATGTCGCCTGCTTTATAACATTAAAAGTGTGAAATAAATCTGAGAAAAGTATTTGTTACTGAACTATAGTTCATGCATTTGCCTGCAAAAAAAAAAAAAAAAAAACAAAACTTGTGCAGATAGTAGGGATGACAATCATATGAAAATAAGATTCCCTAACCATCAGAGCTGAAAGGAGTAATGAAATCGCTTGATAATTCATGCATTTGCACCCCCCCCCCCCCAAAAAAAAATACACAGTATGACTGATATAGATTCCGACAATCAAAGAAACATGATTCTCCAAGTCTCGAAGCTGAAATGAATGATAAAAAATACATGAAGGGCCACACTGTATACTAGGGTGGGGCCACTTTGGGGAATCGAAGTTTTACAAAGGAATACTTAGGAAAAATCTTTTAAAATTCTAAAGAAGAGCAAAGTCATGATTAGCCATATTTACGAGGAAGCATCCTCTGGAAGTGTAGATTCAATTTTGTCCAAATCATGACCGCTAAGGGTAGGGTGGGGACACTATGGACAATAAAGTTTTAAAGAGGAATACATAGATAAAAATCTTTAAAATTCTTTTCAAGAACAACAATGTCATGATTAGTCAAATTTACATGGAAACATCCTCAGATAGTGTAGATTCAGGTTTGTCCAAATCATGACCCGCAAAGGTAAGGTGAGGCCACTATGGGCAATCAAAGTTTTAAATAGGAATACATAGAAAAAATCTTTAAAATTTTTCTTCTCAAGAACAGCAATGTCATGATTAGTCAAATTCATATGGAAGCATCCTCAGGTAATGTAGATTCAGGTTTGTTCAAATCATGACCCCTTGGGGTAATGTGTGGCCACTATGGGCAATCAAAGTTTTACATAGGAAAACATATAAAAAAAAATCTTTAAAATTCTTCTTCTCAAGAAAAGCAAGGGTATGATTAGTCATATCCTCAAGGAGTGTAGATTCAAGTTTGTCCAAATCATGACCCCCAAGGTAATAATAATACATAAAAAATCTTTAAATTTTTCTTCTCAAGAAAGTGAAGTATTTGTTAGTTATATATATACTGAAGCATCTTCAGGCTGTGTAGATTCTAATTTGTTCAAATCATGTCCTCCAGGGGTAGGATTGGGCCAATGGCCAATGTAAGTTTTGCATAAGAATATATAGGAAAAATCTTTTAAAGTCTTCTTCAGAACAGCAACTGTGAAAATGAAAGCCCTAGCACCAACCATTTAAAAGTTATGAGAAAAGTTAAAGTTTTTGCGGACAAACAGACAGGCAGACAGACCAAAAACTATATGCCCCCGAATCTTCGATTACTAGGGGAGCATAAAAATATTTATCTTAAGGACACCTAGTGGGAAAACTGAATTTATGCAGGCCCGTAGGAAGCAATTTCAGATGGGGGGCATACATTTTTAGTTGGGGAGGGGGGGGCACTATCAACTACTAAAAATTCCTTGACAAGCAAAAAAAGGTCATCAGACGTTATTATGAGGGGGCACAAGCATTTAGTAGCTATGTTTTCTGTAGTATTCTATATATCGACGAGATTATTAGGGGGGCACCCTCCCCTCTGTTCCTACGGCCATATTATGATTACTGTGACTGCATTATAACCCTTTACCAAATTTGGAAAATTCATGTCCCCTGGGACCATCATTCTGGCTCCAGAGTGGGGCTAAGTTGGTCATTTATTGAAAAAGCATTAAAAAACAGAAAATCTGTGTGTTCACTCATGGACGTCTAGCAGACAAACTGTTTATAGGATTGTCTATATAAATTATTTTGTTCATTTAATCTAAAACAAAAACGAATCAAACACTTTTACCTCACCTGAGCCAAAGGCTTAAGTGAGCTTTTCTGATCAAAGAGTGTTCGACGTCCGTCATCTGTACACTTTTCACATTTTTGATTTCTTTTCCAGAACCACTGGGCCAATTTCAATCAAACTTGCCACAAAGCATCCTAGGGTGAAGGGGATTTAAGTTTGTTCACATGAATTGCCAGGCTCTCTTTCAAGGGGAGATAATTAAGAATGCATGAAAATTTGGTGGCATCTTTTAAAAATCTTCTCAAGAACCACTGGCAAGAAAAGATGAAACATATGTGAAAGCTTCATTGCATACTCTAGATTCAAGTTTGTTCCTATCATACCCCCAGGGGTAGGGCCGGGCCACAAGATGGGGTCAAAATTTACATAGAAATATATAGGAAATGTCTTTAAAAATCTTCTACTCAAAAACAGCAAAGCCATGATTAGTCATATTATTATAGAAGTATCTTCAGGTAGTGTAGATTCAAGTTTGTTCCAATTATGACCCCCTGGGGGTAGGGCAGGGTCTCAACAGGGGATCAAAGTTTCATCATTTTTTAGATTCATTCAAATTAATTTATAGATTCACTGCTTATAATTCAGTTTTTTTTTCAAATACGTACTCTATATTTAACAAACTAGATAAATTGTGCACGGAATTGACATGCCGACAGCTGCGTAGAAATATATCGATTGGAAATGTACACGATTTCTCGACAAGTATATAGTACACTACGCGGGTATAATTCTCTAAAAAAAAGTTTAAAAATAAGGAATCTCCATTTTAATATTGTCTCATTAATATCAATTGCGTAAGTTATGAAAATCTGCATGTGCTATTTTCAAAGCGATAGCAGAAAGACATTGCCAGTAACACGTCAAGAGGAGTGCCCAGGAAAATTAGAAAGAGATGTCTTCAGTTCAATTCAAATTCTTGAAGTAAAGTTACTTGATGGTACATATTAGTACATGTACGACTTGATTGTCAATAACCACCCCTCCCCTTTAAAGAAAAATAATATGAAATGATAGTTTTGCTATGAAAATATACGAAATTGTGGTTTTTTTGTTATTTGTGAGCTCATTACGCAAAAACACCTGTTTCTTTACAGAGTTATCCCCCCTTGAATTCCCGGAATTGTCCAAGGATGACAATTATACCACTTAACAATTTGCTTGATTATTTTTCTTTTTTTCAATGAAACTAGATTTATATTAAATTGTATTTCTTATATTAAGAGAATATGAATAAAATATTTCTTTAAAATTATACAAGGGAGGAAAAGAAACGATTTATAGAGACTTGATTTAAATCAGTCATGAGAAGAACTGAATCATTATTTCTGGGAGAGTGTTGGTATATATAATTATGTCTTTCTCTATATCATATTATATTTACATTTCTTTGTCCGAGATAAAACTTAAAATAATAAAAATACTTCATCTCTACATAAAGCTACTGGTTCATCGATAGGCGTGGTTAAAAAAATAACGTGTGGGGCGGGACAGAGACAGAAGTAGGTGGGGCTTGGAGCACGTACATTGTAAATTTACGGAATCAAGAGCATGTAAATATAAGGAATAACTATAAGATTTTTTTTTTGTTTTATGACGATGATCAAGCAATTGGCTCGTTTGCTTTTTTTTTTTTTTTTTTTGCTTGTCAGATTTTTTTGGGGGAAGTCCCCCCCCCCCCTTTTGAAATCGTTGCTACGGGCCTGCCCTAAAAGAATAGCCGAAAACACCGAAGTAACTGCAGACCTACAAATGTGGCTGTGAAAAGAAATTTGAAAATGTCTAATGTGAGCTGGAGAAGATCAAAAGTTTTTAGAAACCAATAAAAACATATGTGGTGTCATAAACAATATTTTTCTAAGTTTATCATTTATGTCGAAATCAAATTCTTTCTATTCATTGTCACATAGTTCACGTGTATAGCAACTTTCCAATTCTAATTCAACACCTTCGGTAATTGAATCGTTTATATTCTGGTCTTTCTCAAGTTGTTCAATTTAAAAAAAACCTTGGTCTTCGACTGAAAGGTGAAATCATTATCTTTAATCTATAAAATTGTTACTAGCTTGCACAATAGTGTGCACACCGAATCCCCTAAACCAGTATTATATTGAGTATAAATGCGTCATTTCAGATTATTACAGAGTTCGTCCGTCCGTCTATTTCGGTACGCCGGTATCTTGAAAGAAACTCTATAGCAAATAATTATAATGTCTTTATAAGAATATACACAATATTGAAAACAAACAACGTAATGATGCTGTAATAATCATTGTACATGTAGATTAACTACTAATAAATAAAATATAGAACACACTTGTCAGAATTGAAACAGTTTAACAAAATATGTGTCAAATAGTTCATATGCTTTCCACATAGGAATTGCTGCAAGATTTGTATATGCGTTATGGTCTTTTATAATTATATAAATGTTTCAGATTCCTTGGTTTCTTTAGATTTTTTCCCAAGTGACTCTCGATACTTGTCTTCTAATAGTTTCCGATTTATTTTACGTGTTTTCAAAAGAAACATACAGGTCAGAATGAGCGCCACAGAGAGGAATCCTATTATAATTCCCAAAACAGCTAAAGCAGCACCATCACCTAAAACACAAATCAAATGCACATTGTTTATAGCAGTTTTGATTCAAGCATCTCCATTACTAACTACTTCAAAAGATACTAGTATATGGATTGAAGAAATTCTTCAATGAAAACACTTACTATTTGATGGTACTGAAGGGATCCTGGCAGCTGTTTGTTGTGACACTTTGAAAGGACTATCATTACTGAAACTATGGCAGGTCGGTAGTCCGTTGGGTAAATTTTTTATATTTTCAAATGATTCATTCAGCATTAGAGCCATTCCTTTGATCATGTGCGGATCGATGTGACAATGCATAAACCAGACACCTGGGTTGGTGGCTCTTATTCGGATGACGGTGTATCCTCCTTGAGGAGTTATAACGGTGTCTTTGCGAACGGGGTCTAAATTGTTGATCCCTGGGATCGTTTTATAGTTATTCCAGGACGGATCTCTCCATCTAGCGTTATTACATTGACTCTCGTTGTTAGGTTTACTCTCACTACATTGGATATCTTCATTGGGAATCATATCCTTGCCATCCAAGGAAAAAGAAGGAAATCCCATTTTCAAAACCTCAAATGTATGACCATGCATAGGCACCGGATGTGTTCTGGACATTCCTGTACCAAAATTAGATAGAATCATGATGTTCTCGGATCCTGATTTGAGATTTAGTGAATGTGAGCATTCACAAGATGACTCATCATCACATCCCGAGCATGTTGTGTCCAGCTCAGAAGGCTGTGAAAGAGCGGAAACAGTGGGCCAAATAAATTTTCGACCATTAATAGATGATTGTTCAGGAAAACCAAAGTTCAAGAAATGAGTGTAAACTTCGTCTGTTCTTTCCACTAGAAGTGAATCAAATTCAAATCCGGAATTAGGATTCCTTGATTGAAGTTTAGAGACTGGAAGACAAAGAAAATCTGGGTGATGGGGATATTCTTTGAAAGGGCAGTTGAGAATTATTTCATATTGTCTATTTAATGTGTAATTTCGTAAGGACTGGCTATTACTTACGTTGATATAACCGAGACCCACAGGCGTATCGAGGATTTGGAGTGCCCTCCCCTGAAGGAGGTGCACTGTTATGTTGTAAGTTCCCTCACTTGCATACCGCAGATCTAGCTGGAAATCATATCTTTCTGCAGGGTATATGATAATTCTGTCGACTGTTGTTTCTACAATTTGATAGCCATCCGTCTCTTTCACAATAAGGCGTAAGCCAGGTACAGAAAAAAGAAGTGTTTCTTCTGATCCTACTCCTATCAGTCGGAATACATGATTGTCTCCCTTATCAACGCGAAAACTTTCGAGTGGTGCCATGTTGCTGCCGAACTCACTTCTTCCATTTATTAAAATTGAAATGCTATCTTTTTTCCTCCCCTTTGTGTTTGCCAAAAGCAATGTTATTGGGTCATACAAATGATTCCATTCCATTAGCTGAATAATGTGTTGCTGTTGAATCGGTATATTATTTTCCCTCTTTAAAACAATGAAGGCCCCATACAAACCCATATCTCTTTGGTTGCCCATGTGGGAATGATACCAATAAGTACCAGTAAAACGAGGCTGAAACGTGTAGTTAAAAGACTGTCCCGGTAAAATAGGACATTGGGTCACAAAAGCTACTCCATCCATGGCAGCCCAGCCAAGCTGGTCTATCCCATGCCAGTGAATGGTGACGCCTTCGTTTATCAAGTTGTTCTTTACTATGATGGTAATCGTCTGATTCTGGTAGAGAAAGATTGGGGGTCCTGGCATAGTTCCGTTCACAGTAATGAGCGGTCTTGTTGTATTCCAACCATCAGCAGTTATTACTTTTATTAGATCAACAGCCTTCTCTCCGTCTACTGGATACAATGATCTATTTTTGGCATAGACCAGTCCCTCAGACGGATCAATCATTGTAAAGGCGTTTTCAACTATTAGAGACGTCATACAGTAAGCGTTTTTATCACAGACGAATCCTTCTGTGGGAATAGGTATTACCAGAATGATGAATAGTGGATGTGGATTCTGTAAAGGAAAAAAAAAACATGATAGGGATAAATTGTAACTATATCATATTTGGACCAAGCAACGAATGAGATTCAGAGAAAGGAAAATAATGTATATTTTTAAAAACATATTTAAAATCTTGTCAGATTTCTTATGTAAATTTGGTATGAAACTGAACCAAGAAAAGAGAATGGACAAAAAATAAGAAAATTCGTTGGGCAAGGAATTAAAATGTACATTTAATCTTTGTTAAAAATCATTGCAAACCTTGCATTGTCAATGAGATGTGAGTAATATTGGAGGAAGACAAAGAACACTAGGACATTGCAAAGCAACGTGGCAAACCACGGTTTTGAGTCCACAAGCTCCCTCTGTGATAGAGAGAATTGATGTGAATCACCCGTGGATTACCGACGATGATTGCAAAGAGAAAACCCGGTTTCTAGAATGTTCCTTTATTGATTAAATTGATTAAGATTGTACCAGATTTCGTACGTATTTGGTGAGTGAAAATAGACATTAGTATCTAATTGATAGATATTTGATTTTTATGCCCCCGTATCGAAGATTCGGGGGTATATAGTTTTTGCCCTGTCCCTCCGTCTAGTTGTCTGTCTGTTTATCTGTTTGTCTGTTTGTCCGCAAAAACTTTAACATTGCTCATAACTTTTGGTTGGTTAGAGCTATGGCTTTCATATTTCTTGTGTATTCCTTGTGACAAGTCCTCTCTTTGGGTACCATCATATTTGAACTTTTGACCTTGACCTTGGAGTTTGACCCAGTTTTGCAAAATTTTACTTTAACCTTTGCCATAACTTTTGAACAGTTAGGGCTAGGGCTTTCATACTTCATATATGTAATCCTTGTGACAAGGCCTTCCTTTGGATACCAACAATTATAGCCCTTTGACCTTGACCTTGGTGTTTGACCTACTTTTGGAAAACTTTAACCTTGGCCATATCTTTTGAACGGTTTGTTTGTTTGTATGTTGTTTAACGTCCCTCTCGAGAATTTTTCACTCATATGGAGACGCCACCACTTGCCGGTGGAGAGCTGCAAATTTTGTCCTATACTCGGCACTAACGGCCATTGAGCAGTGATCTTTTTCGTGCCAGCACCTACTGCGACACGGGACCTCGGTTTATACGGTCTCATCCGTAGGACCGGTCTCCACGTCCCACAGTGGGATTCGAACCCGCGACGTAAGGATCAACTCCTTACGCCGCGACTCTAGAGCAGACGATCTAACCACTGCGCCACGCGGGCGACCCTTGAACGGTTTGTGTTAGGGCTTTCATATTTTACATGTGTATTTCTTGTGAGAAGGCCTTTCTTTGGTCACCATTAATTTTGACCATTTGACCTTGACCTTGATGTTTGACTTTCTTTTGAAAAACTTTAACATTTTTCATATCTTTTCAATGGTTCCTGCTAGGGCTTTCATATTTCACAGGTATATTCCTCGGGACAAGACCTTACTTTGGGTACCAACATATTTGATTTGCAATTGAGAAAGTTTAACCTTCGCTTTAAGTTGCCATACGAGGGCATCAGTGTTTCACAAACACATCTTATTCTAAGTGACTTTAGGTTAGGCTGTGATCTATTCTTCTAAGAAACGTATATATATATATATACACACACACACACATATTCCAAATGTGATCCAGAAATAGGGTTATAGTATCTGTGAGGTAAATATATAAGAAATTTGACTTTTTTATGTATGAAAATTGTGGTTATAACGTTATACACACCTAATACTAGACATGTAATTCTTCCTTTAATAATTCAAAACTCTTAGGTGTTGGGGAAACTTTTTTTCGAAAAAAAATAAATAAATACACGTACGTTTAATGCTTTTCAGACAAAGAGGGTGTTGCAGAAACTCGTGATTATTCCCTAAATCGAGAAGGACATTTAAATACCCACGACGCATGAAGAATTATCTCTAAATATAGATAATGCGTAGATGACTATTTATACGACGGGTATGTCCAGCTTGTTATAACAAAACATTTCACATTTTTACGTTTATTTCATGCATAGTTTTTTTTTAAACATAGACTAGCGATCTGTAAGTAAACTTTTTTCACATCTATAGTCACTGACAAGTGCATCTCGCACATTTTGAAAGATGTACTGTAGACAGCGTGCGTTAATATTTTTCTGTTTGTTTTTTTTTTTTTTCAATATATAAAAATGTGTCCAATAATCACGCTGTTGATGCAATATCCAAGAAATTCCATTACATGAGTCATTTCAATTTAGTTGCTTCAAGTCAAATCTGAGTCACTAATTAACAAAAAAATATTGGAACGAAATGCATATGAAAAAATCAAATTATTTAAAATGATAGTACTTTATTTTTTAAGACATCGCCACTAAATAATAACATTAAATATATGTCTTATTAGTTTTAGATCACAATATCAAGGAAAACAATTTAATTCTGCATGCATTTAAAATATTACCCATTAACTTTCTGACATTCTCTCCCTCTCTCTCTCAAGAGAGATGTTACATTGTACTTCCATTTTATAAGAAAAAAAATATGTATATATTAATACCAGCCATTCCAGGATTCGAACCCATTCTCAGGTAAAAGAATCTTTGCATAGAGTCCACACGCTTTACCTCTAGACAAGCTCCGACGATGAAGCATCATGTTCTATTTTATGTGCACATTTTGCATTTCGGATGGATAATTTTTCTTCGATTTTTGTGATTTTCAAAAATATGCGTCTTTGAAACAAAAATCGGAAATAGCAGTTTTGAAGAAAAATCCGGTCTCTTTATGCTTATATCAAATTCATTCTGTTTCAAGGAGGCAGTTTTTCAGAGCAATGGGGATTCCCTATTTGAAAAACAGAAAACTTGACTTATTTTGCTATGTGACTAATTACACTTCATCTAATGGCAAATTGGAAGTCGATATGCAGTTTCTAAATATTGTTCTACATTGTGCTGTATATACCGTTGTATCTGAAAAAAATTTAAGACCGTTTTCTGTTACTTAATTTTTTTTCTTTTAAACTGCTACAACTTTAGGGAAAATAACAAAAGAACTGCAACACCCTCTTTTATTTGAAGTGTTAAAAAATTGACATGTATGATTAAAAAGTTATTTAATGACACATACCATGCTCAGGAAAATTATCCGAAACAAAAGAGTTACAAACTTTTTTATGCGCACTGGTCACGTAACAAGATTTAATTTAAATGAATGTGACTGAAGTTCAAATAATCATTATTTTATATATCCTAGTTTCTTGGAAAATAAAAGTAAAATACTAATACCCGCCACATTCCGCCCCATCACTCATGAACTCCATTACTAGATAATGATCAATATTCCAAGAAAATATTTCAGATTAACACGTGTTTCTCTTCTGCATTACAATTCCATATTTAAAAGAAATTCCGGTTGCAGATAGTGCATTTCAATACCCGAAGTTTAAACATGTACGTTGAGCAAGAATTTTTTTGTATATTTTTATGAACAGATTCTCATAAAACATGGGAGTTTTTATTCAATAAAGAAGGTATTAGCATACTTACCGGACATAGAAAGTAGGGGGGGGGGGGTCTTCAAGTCCCAAATATTCAATATCTGCTATTATTGAAAAAAAAGATCTAGGAGAAATGCAATATATTCATGTGAAATTATATTCAATAGCACAAAATACAGACTTAACACTTAACTTAATTTCTCCTTTTATTTATTTATTTATTTATTTTTTGTAGGGAAAATGCGTTAAAAATGATAGATTGTAATAACACCCTGCACTCTACGATGTTTAATTTGGAGTTGCATACAATAAAATCATATTTCCCGGTAAGGCAAATATTGCACCAACAATTTTATTGCAGATACACAAAAGAAAATTAAAAAGGTGATTCATCTAATGATTTTTTTTTGTTATCTTTAATATATTCTGATTAATCTTAATTTGAAAATTAATATGCAAAATAAGAAATATAATACTATTCACATATCATATACTATTCACATTTTTAAAAGTCATTTGTTTCGTGTATTTGTGAAAGAGTTGTATTGCCTTTATGGCATTATTGATGATAAACATTAATCCACAAATACATGAATATCCTGTTCAAAACCAGGTCACATCGACAAGTTATCTGTTAATCAACAAGTTAGATCCTTCTTCACACAAAACGCACCAATGATTACAATTATATATATTAAGGTAGACTTTACAGAAATGACAGCATTTGCATTATCATTTTTATGACCACTTTTTAACGTGCGTCTGAACCTAGTTAAAAATTGCATTAATCCTAGAATTCAACAAATTTTAGAATGAATGGTGCATAAATTGGAGGAATCTGTCAAATCTAAATTTTTAGGTCTTTTTTGAAAAAAAAAAAAAAAAAACAGAAATGAAGGGCCCAAGAACTGAGAGCCTGGCCTATATGTATTTATGGCATTGCCTCACGGTTATTGCAGAAGATTTTTTTCTGTATTATTGCCTAAAGACGTTTTAATTGGATTTTTTTTAGTTTCATAGAGGGAAAAATCCCACAGAAGTAAAATCATGTTTTTTTATTCATAATAATGTTTATCTACGTAAACATTCATTTTAAACATAATCTAGGATATGCTGTTTATGTCCCCAACTGATTCGGTACAAAAACATTCTGAGAACGATGTGTTTAAACCGAGGCAGGCTGCTAACAAAACAGTTAACGTTACAGGGCTTTAATAGTCTCGTTTAAACTCAGCAGCTCGCAAATTCTAAGGTCGTTATAATGACCTTGTTTGCAAATACATGTACTACCCATTGCTGGGTCGAATTTAGACTGAAATGTTCTTACCAATTGTTTGGCCAATATTTTCACGCGAAGCTTTACTATAGATTACTCAGTTTACCTGATCAGTATTGAGGGTTCACGATTGTGTGACCGGTCGATAGGGCATGCTTACTCCTCCAAGGCACTTCATCCGCCTCTCGATTTACTAGAGGTCCGTGTTCTTGCCCTATTCACAATTTGTATTGTTTTCTTCACCTTTTTCACTCCAACCAATTACTTTTATCCAACTAGTAAATTGACCTGACCAAGATGCTTCGATAACGGACAAATAAATAAACTCTGACAGCCAAAAACAAGAAACAAAGTATGCCTTGGAATTTGGATATCATTTCACTTTTATTATCATGATCTACGGCTAAAATACTTATGTTTAATCATAAAACGCTCCAAGCTACGGCATTCAGTTTGTCTAGTCATTTCAGTATGGATAACACATGAAGAAAAGCAAATATGCAATCGTATGGCAAAGAGAGTAATGACATATTTGATGGAGAACCTTACCTGTTTTTCCGGTATGACTTCGAATTATGCTTCTTTAAAAGTTCGAAGAATTATTCAAATGGTGGCATGATAAAGCCTCCATATCGTAGAAAGTACTACTAACGTATTAGGTCAATTTATCTTGAGACTGAACACCTTTGGTAATTGCTAATTGGGCACTATCTGGCTTGTGCAGTTTACATGTAGTTTGCATATCTTCATGTTTGCTTTGTTGACACAATATATGATAGTGTCTTTTGAGGATAACTTTGATAAGTGGTTAGATCTTGAAATTCTTTAATTTTTTATTGCCATCTACTGCCACAAATATTAAAATGAACGTGTTTAAAGCAAATCCAAATTAGATACAAAATGTGACTACTGTGTACAGTAAAGCTATTGGACATTTTATTTTTGAATTCTTGATAAGTGTTACACAATTTGCACACTCGAATGAACAATATATATATATATATATTGCTGTACAGCATATCTGAACTACATGTTATCATTGAAAACGCAAATATGATCTGCAGGTGTTAAAACGTTCACTTATAGTTTATGGAACACAAATAATGAACAACATAAGACTACATAAAAATATAAATTGAAAATTAGAAATTAAAGGACTTTATTCTGTTAAGACCAATATCTGCCCCCAAAATCAAACTTTGATGGAGAAATCTATATTTCTAAACCAGGGGGAAACATGCTTGCACTCAGCAAATTCTACACTCAAAATTGAACGAATTCTGTCCATTCCGTCGTCTTTGTTGAAAATAACGGAAAATCCAAATAGTTTGTGACGTCACAAAAACAGGAATTACCGATAGTCTAGTTCCAAACTATAATATTTTTTGTCAATTAAGATTTTCCATACAATATAAACAATTGTACACATTTCTAGAGGTTTTCAAAATTTGTGTTTTTTTATGGGGGCAAAATTATGCTTTTACCGTATATAGTTCTTTAAAATAAATGTTTGTAATGTAGCGATTCCTTGCATTTTTACCATATGAAGTAGCTCTTGGTACAATTTGTCTTAACTTATGAAAAACTTCAAAGAAAAGGTTCCAATTCATGAATCTTTTTTCTTGGACAGGTCGTACTTATCGCACAAAACAGAACTCCCATGATTGCACCCAACAAAAGAATCGTGATGATGTCATCTAAAACATTTTAAAAACATTCTTAGTTCATACAAGATAATATTATTGCGAAATTCTGTTTTTATTTCTTGTTCTCTTTGTTATAATCTATATTTCGAGCAGATAAGGTACTTTACCATTTACTGGTGCAAAAGGATACATGTGTGCAGGAATACCTACCTGGTAAAAGTGATCCTTTAGGGGCGTCTTTACTGATGAAGCTATGGCAAGTCGTCAGTCTCCCTGGCAGACCTTTTCTGAGATATTTAAAGGATTCATTCAGTATCAGTACCACTTCCTTCATCATGTGCGGATCCATGTAAAAGTGCATAAACCAGACACCTGGGTTTGTAGCTCGTATTCGAATGATGGTGTATCCTCCTTCAGGGGCTATAATGGTGTCTTTGCGGATGGGATGAAACCAGTTGATCCCTGGGATCGATTTATAGTTATTCCAGGATGGGTCTCTCCATCTAACTCTATCACACTGACTTTCGTTGTTAGACTTACTCTCACTACATTGGATATCTTTATTTGGAATCAAATCCTTGCCATCCAAGGAAAAAGTAGGAAATCCTATTTTCAAAACCTCAAATGCATGACCATGCATATGCACCGTATGTGTTCTGGACAATCCTGTTCCCAAATTAAATAGAATCATGATGTTCACGGATCCGGGTCTGAGATTAAATGAAAGTGAACATTCACAAGATGTCTCTTCATTACATCCTGAGCATGTTGTGTCCAGCCCAGAGAGCTGTGAATTCGCGGTAGGCAAAATAAATTTTCGACCATTGATAGTTGAATACTCAGGGAACCCAAAGAAATGAGTGTATAGCTCACCAGTTCTTCCCATTAGAGAGGAATCAAATTCATATCCGGTGCCAGGGTTCCTTGATTTTAGTTCAGAGACTGGAAGACAAATAAAATCTGGATGAAGGGGATATGCCTTGAAAGGGCAGTTGAGAATTACTTCATATTGTTTATTTAAAGTGTAATTTGGTAAAGAGTGCCTATTGCTTACGTGGATGTAACCGAGACCCACAGGCGTATCGAGAATTTGGGGTGCTTTTCCCTGAAGGAGATGCACTGTTATGTTGTAAGTTCCCTCACTTGCATTCCGCAGATCTAGCTGGAAATCATATCTTTCTGCAGGATATATGATAATTCTGTCGACTGTTGTTTCTACAATTTGATAACCATCCGTCTCTTTCACAATAAGGCGTAAGCCAGGTACAGAAAAAAGAAATGTTTCATCAGACCCTATTCCTATCAATCGGAATACATGATTATCTCCCTTATCAACGCTGAAATTTTCATATTGTGTCATGTTATTGATGAATTCACCTTTTCCATTTATTAAAATTGAAATGCTTTCTTTGTCTCTCTCCTTTGTGTTTGCCTGGAGCATTGTACTTGGATCATACAAGTGATTCCATTTCATTAACTGAATAATGTGTTGCTGTTCAATCGGTATATTATTGTCCCTCTTTAAAACAATCAAGACACCATACAAAGCCATATCTCTTTGATTGCCCATGTAAGAATGATACCAATAAGTCCCACTAAAACGAGGCTGAAACGTGTAGTTAAAAAACTGTCCCGGTAAAATAGGACATTGGGTCACAAAAGCTACTCCATCCATGGCAGCCCAGCCAAGCTGGTCTATCCCGTGCCAGTGAATGGTGACGCCTTCGTTTATCAAGTTGTTCTTTACTATGATGGTAATCGTCTGATTCTGGTAGAGAAAGATTGTAGGTCCTGGCATAGTTCCGTTTACAGTAATGAGGCGTCTTGTATTCCATCCTTCAGCAGATGTTACTTTTGTTAGATTAACAGTTTTTAAATGTTCTGGGAACAATGTTCTATCTTTGGAAAATACTAGTCGTTCAGACAGAGCGTCTCTTGTTGTGTTCTCAACGATTAGAGTGGTAATGCAATAGGCGTTATTCTCACAGACGAATCCTTCTATAGGGATAGGTATCACCAGAATGATAAATAATGGATGTGGATACTGCAAAGAAAGTAAGGAATAAATTCTAGTTTATGCCAAGCATCATAATATGCCTATCAGGGAACAACGATAAAAAAATCTTATATTTAAAATCTTATCATTGATCACTCCCTATTTGATTTCAACGGTAATTTCTTCTTAACAAATTGGATAGTTTAGGAAAATGCAGTAAGCATTGGACAGTGAATTGGCACAAAGATGCGCACTGACTTTATTTGAGCTAGAATTCTTGTTATATGTCATCGCAAATCTTTGAATCAGATTTTTCAATGAAGTATGAGTAATATTAGATTAAAGAAAACAACATATGAACAAGAGCGGAAACCGTCGCAAAATGACTTCATTAAGATTCAATCAGATTCTAGAATGTTCTTTTTAAAAATGGATTAAGATTGTACACCGAGATTTTCAGATCTTTTTTGTGATCGAGTGCATAAAAAATAGTAATAGCTAGATAAATATGTAAAAGGTGAAGATAACAAATTGTGATCAATCTTACTAATGCTAGCTGTAAACAATAAATATTATAAACAGGGCAAAATCACAGACCACATAGAAATATACCAGGGGTGGGATCAGGTGCCTAGGAGGAGTAAGCATCCCCTATCGATCGGTCACACCCGCTGTGAACACTTGGCATGTATTGATTAGTTTAACAGAGTAATCTGTAGCCAAAATTAGTATGAAAACATGGCCTAACAAAAAGTAGGAAACATATCAGTCAGTCAACATTCGACCCAACGATAGGTTGTGTTTGCAAATAATGTCATTATTACGACCAAATAATTTATTAAATGCTGACCTAAAACAAGACTTAAAGCCCTTAAATATCAACTTGTCTGTCAGTAGCCACTCTCGGTTTAAAAATTAAGTATACTCCTATCAAATGAATCAAACGAATCAAATGGGAGATAGAAACACCTTATAATTGTAATGGAATATTACTTCATAAATAGGGGACAGAAAAGATGAAGGTAGCTTAGTTGTTAGTTTGTCATTAACTTCCATATTCAGTAAGTAGTATGCAGTTATACCCAAAATTTGTTATTAATTCCAATCTATGAAATGATGAGGACACTTTTCCAAAAAGGAATAATATACTCTTATATATTAAATGCTTTACAAACAAAATAAAAGTAAACAGATTAAAGTATTTCGATGATGATATTATTTCAAAAAAGAATTAAATTTACATACCATGCTTATGATTATCCAAAATAAAAAGAACAACCAAAGTTTCCAATAAGAACTGGTAACTTAGCAATATTTAATTTCATTGATTTGGCGCTGAAACTCAAATCTTACATCCTATTTATTTGGAAAATAAATAGGAAAATACCAACCAATTCCCAACCCATTTAACATGTACTTTATCAATCATGACTAAAATTCCAAGAAATGATTTCAGATTTACACATATTCCTCATCCGTATCACAATGACATATTCAAGAGAAATTCAGGTTAAGTATAAATATTTTTTTTACGGGTGAAACATCTTAAAGTATAAATTCTTAGCAGAGACTACGGATATTCTACCTCATTATCTATATATGTATATGTCTAGTCAGACTTATCAGGTCAGTTATCTCTTGATCAACGAGATCCTTCTTCACACAAAATGCACCAATGATTGCAATTACACGCATATTACGCGCATATTAAGACAGACTTTAGACAGAATTCTTCCAATTGTGTATTTATATTTAATCCAGGAGAGCGCATCTGAATCCAGTAAAATTTGCATTTATTCAAAATTCAACAAATTTTGGAATCAATGGTACATAAAAATTGAGAAAAATATCTAAAATTTTAATGTCCAGGTGTTGTAGAAAAATAATTACAGAAATAGGGTTGAGAGAGAGAGAGAGAGAGAGAACCCATGACACTGCCTCCCGGTAATTCCAACTGAAATGTTTCCGTATTATTACCTTAAGACTTTTGGGACATAAAAAGTATACATTTTTTCTTCATAAAGAGAATTCAAGAACACATAAGGTGAAGCATGCTATTTTGTTAGTGAAATTGTTTATATTTGACCAAAAATATCATTTAACCTCAAACGGCATAAATGTTGAATCTTTTCTCTGTACAGCTTAAATATTAAAGAAATCTCTCATCCGAAGAGTTTATTGTCTGGAGAAAAGTGTGATGAACATATAGGAAGACATGACTTCCTCTGCAATAAAAATTTCTTTGCAGAAATTGTCCATCCTCACAACATCACGGGTCCTGAGTCAACAAGTTGCCGTTGGACCCAGACAAATTCCATTCGTTTTATTTGGGCTTGCTTCTCTCATTGAGAAGCACCAATGAAATTGATTGATTATTTTTGTTTTACGCCGAGTCGGCAATATTTCAGCCATATTTCGGCGGTCCAATGAAATTGAAGTAGGCAGATAATGTAAACAGAATGCACGTGCTATATGCACTATTTATCTCCGAACGGCTTAATGTGATTGGTTGATAAGAAAAACAATCAAGACGTTGCTACACTCAGCCCGCAAGATATCGAATGAAATTTGTCAGGGGTCCAATGGAAACGTGTTGACTCAGGATCCCAATCTCCTATGCAGAGTTGTCGTTCGTTCCTCTCTCAGACACGTGAATGTATGAGCCGATGGTAGAGAGTGTCAGGATCCCTGATGTTGTGAGGATGAAAATTGTCATGATGCTTCGACAATAAATAAACAAGAACAAATAACTCTGATAGGAAGAAACGAGATAAAAATTTGCCCTAAGACCACTTTCTTGCGCCACAAGAAACTTGTGTTTAGTATTTCTAGAATCCATCACACTGGCAAAAATACGGTAAAAATTCGTTAAATTTTAAATTTTCGACTCTAGAATTCAACATTCCTCTGACTACATTGAGCTTGTTTTTTGCCATATAAAGCATAATATAAGGAAAAACACGGGGAGACTCAGGTTCAATGAAAGTTTATTGCTTAAAGTTGTCCGAAGCAAGGTATGTGTCCGATGCATGGTTAACTCACCCTAATAATAATAAATACTGGGAGACAATATGACATTACAATTCTTGAGAACATTTATTAATTAATTAATTATTAAGATTAAAAAAAAGAATCCTAGTATGTGACTATAAAATATTGCATTATATATATATATATATATATATATATATATATATATATATATATATATATATATATATATATATATATATATATATATATATATATATAAATTGGCAAAATAGATGGCCTACAAAATATGGCCAAAAGTATCCAATATTTTAGACGTAAGAATACATGAAATGCCAGCCAAAAAAAATTTTATTATTATTATTATCATTATTACGTCACCACAAATGAACCCAATCGAATCTTAAAAGCTGAACAAGACTCGTAAACAGGCATACGCCATATTACATTTCCTATCCCCGATATCAGCACTGGGGTATACCCTTCCCATTCGTTACACCTGACTGCTTTATTGTCAAGGGTACCGGCGTGGAATGGACGACACGTGTTCGTGCTGGTTATCTTGCATTACCTTTGTTTACATTTTATTGCAGTTTACGTGTAGTTGTGTTTGTATACTACACTGACCTACGCAACTGTTTTAAGTTTCTTCGATATCTTTCTCTCTTGCCGTGGAAGAAGTACAGAGTTATTTTTGTCGCTACCTACTAGTGTTTTACAAATGCTATGTAGCATACCTCCGTCTACACAGGTGACAACTGATTACACTGAACAGTGACTAAGTGAACGGCTTATATAGTGGTCCTCAGATATAGCGACTGAATAAAGAATATGACGGACAAATTCTTTTACGAATCGTGTTCAGCTTTAACGAAACGTTATAATAATCACTAAGTGTGTAGCTGTTTCTACACCATTCAAAAGGGTCGGCGTTGCCATGGAAACAACGAAAGGTAAGATGGAGGTGACATACACTAGAACTTGCAATAACACAGATTCTAGTTTTAATTTTCATTCGTGAACACCATATTTTATTTTTCTTGAAATATCCAATCCTTCTCTACTCGTACATATACCAAAATGCATTTTTTACACGACTGATTTATGGATTGGCTCTCTGTCTGCAAGTAGAAAGGAAACTTGAACTGACCAAAAACGTGACAGGCACGTAGCATCGGGGGGAGTCTTTTCAAATGTAGTAGTGTTGTAGAGGTTGGAACCTAACTCCCCCCCCCCCCCCCCTTCCGACGAAATGGGATTTTCGAGTTTGGACCATTTTCTTTCTTCTTCTTTTTTTTCCTTCCAGGTAAGTCTCTGGCTGCACCCCCCCCCCCTCTTTTCAAAAACGTTGCTACATCCCTGCCTGATGGACGAAATATTTTCTTCGGTATAACCCTTTTTCATTAAAAATAATGTAATTTTGCTATACATGCATGTAATTTGGAACTTAGACCCTTTGTTGTTGCAATAGCCGAGTTTCCACCCAGGATTGTATCTCTACCAAGATATTTATCATTCAGAAACTGTGTGTCAAGTTACTTTCAAACTGGTTCAGCAAGTGTATGCATAACGTTACTACATTCACTGGACACACTTCAATTAAATATTTAAAAGTGATTTATAACAATGCTGGTTGAAATACTGAGAATCTAAGAGTATTGCATAATCAATCCTAGTCCCCTGCCTGTATGGACACATACCAAAAATTGGCTCAATATAGAAGAAAGCTTCGGAAAAACTGACAAACCAGTAGTAGAATTAAATAACAAATCACTGAAGACAACAAATCTTTGTATATTTTAATTACTATGACATTTTCAATACTGTGATTCCATTCATAACAAATTATTTCACATAGTTAAAGAAAAGATCGCACTTCATTTAACAATTTATTGACCATAAATTAATATGCAAAGACTTACTTTTAAAAATTTTATGCAATATTAATCTGACAATATATTCAACAAAGAGCACCATATAAATATTATATCAAAACAAGATGTGTTGACAAAACACAATTCCCCAGCTACCTATCTAGATTTTGATTCCCATAGATTTTGCTGAAGTTTTATCACCTATAAAATTAATACAAACAGAAAGATGGGAGACAATTCAGTGGTTATATATTCTCAGTATATAAAGATAGGGTACAGAAATTTTACTCCTTTTAAACCATTTTTTTTTATTCCCAGAAAACAAAAAAAAAAAATCTGTAACTGCATCATAGAAAAAAAATCATAGTTTTTCATAAGATTCATATTTGAATTCACACAACTAGCACCCTACAATGAAATGAATGA